GTAATAAAAAAGAAGTAGAAGAAAGAAGAACAAGAAATTCAAACATTTTGTTATAATATTTATAGACATTCCTAAAATTTGTGATCCAGTTGTTAGATAGATATTGTTATAAAATTAAACGCTGTTTAGTATTGTAGAGTTCTGATGAGGAAATATTTCAAATACCATTTCGATGAACAATCCGAACCATCCCTACATAAGCAGTGCTGCCACCTGCCTGATATCTGATTAGCATAATATCTATATTCTGAAGTTATGAACGACCGATGTCTAATGAAGAGCGACATTAAAATAAGTAATGTTGACTTTTGTACAAAGCATGTGCTTGATTGATTATAGAGACGAATACATACACATACTGTGGTTCCTTTCTGACTTAGATCAATAAACACACAACCTACTCGATTGTTGACAGAGACCAATTTTAGTATAAAGATGATCCATTACGTCTGTATGTTAGCATCCATTAGCTCGATTAGCATAATTTTTGGTGTGATAACTGGAAACTGTTCGAGGATGTACATGAGCTACTCTGATATAGGATTTTGCCAGAGAAAGTGAGTGGTGGTAAAGAAACGAACATGTATTCAGTTATATGTTTAGTTTTTCTTTCATTTCTAATGTTTTAATTTGACCAAAATAATTTTGCAACATAATTTTTATTTTAACTTACCTGATGTAGTCATTTTTACACAATATCATTCCTGCTTTGGTGAAACAGGAACTACCGATATCTGCTAGCGTCGCCTGGCAACAAGAACACTTCAAACATCCGGTATGCCAATATCTGTCTAAGGCGTGTAACAGGAAACGGTCCAAAATTTTACCTCCACATCCAGCACAGCTGCGCCCCCCTGTGGATCCTGATGTTGGTAGTTGATGATGATGGTGGGGACCACCATGATGAGGAGGGAGAATCTGTGACTGCATGCGGACCAAAGGGCCCCCACTTCCTCCATGAGGAGTATGAGGATTCATTATGCTCATCATTGAGGCTCCAGAGTCTCTATTCTGACACCCATGATTCATTGTTGAGTTGATGAAACACTATTGTGAAACTAAAACTTACTGGAGTTGTACAACAGTGACAACTAGATTTTAGCCGTAGAGTTCCAGTTTCACTTTTACTTAGCTGTAATTGAAACGGTTAAAGGTACTTAACAACCAACCATTAACCGCTTCTACTATGATCACGTGGTGTGAAAACTAAGAGGTCCCGTTCGTCATTACTCCCAAATAAACGCAGAGCCTATAACAGGGAAACAAAAACAAAAAACACGATATTAAATAACATAAAACACTTTTCAAACAAAGAAACCATCACAAATACTCATTTTTAAATAGATCTTTATATCCATTTCGAAAAGGAATAAAGATTCTGGTGACGTACTCTCACATCATAAAGCTCCTTCCTCTAACAAAGCCAATAAATTATGAAGCATCGTTCTTCGTAATTTCACGTTTATGAATATATATATATATATATATATATGCGTTATAAATATACTATACTTAACAAAACTTGGATACCTTGTCATGCCAAGCAAAGTTAACACTTCTGCCTCTAAGTACACTACGAAGATCATTTCCAAAATTGCTTAAGAGAGAATAATTGAATTGTGAGATGTGTTTATTCTAGATAGACACAAAATAGATTACTTAGCAGCTCCATGTGACTAAAGCTCGGTTTGTGTACTTTTTTTCCTGCTTTTAACTAATTACTTCTTTAGTTCAATTTATTTTATTAAATTCACAATAATTTTGTAAAACATTACTACAATTAAATACAAAAAATTTAATTGTGTAATTTACATATTCACCATTTTCTAAGCTAACCGTTATTTTTACTAGTTTATGACACTACTATTTTTATGAGAATAGGTAAACTATCTATTATCATTTTACACATCTAAATTGCTTAGCAACATAAATGGCACCTATACTGCCTGTTTGAGTTTTTTTATACAAAAGTTTATTTTACTGTGAAGTTATTAATGCGTGAATTGCGATAATTTATAAAAATAATCATTCAGGACACAGAACAGGAAACAAGTTGAATAAATAATATTCTCAACCTCCGTCAGGAACAAACTCTAAGTAAAGAAGCCAAGTATTGTGTGACCTCATTACACTTCTTCAACAAGAACTGAGTTGACACTTAAATGTTGGATTCAGGTAAAAATGGGACTGTGACTTGTTTGTTTTATTGTATAGTACAAGGCTACATAAAGAGCTTTCAGTGCTCGGCCCATCACGAGTATCAAAACACGATTTTCTGCATTGTAAGCCCATTGACTTACCGCTAAGCTACCGGTAAACCAGGATTTTGGAATGTTTCTATGTAAATTTTGGTCCGCCTGCAACGTTTCTGAAGTGGTCCGGCATGGTCAGGTGGTTAGGGTGCTCAACTCGCAATCCGAGGGTCGCGGGTTCGAATCCCCGTTCCACCAAACATGGGCGCCCTTTCAGCCGTGGGGTGTTATAATGTGGCGGTCAATCCCACTAAAAGAGTAGCCCAAGAGTTGGCGGTGATAACTAGCTGCCTTCCCTCTTGTCTTACACTGCTAAATTAGGGACGGCTAGCGCAGATAGCCCTCGTGTAGCTTTGCGCGAAATTCGAAACAAACAAACGTTTCTGGGTAACAAGAAAATCGTCTGAAGACACGTTGAGTGGTAATACCATAATTACCGTTGTACAACAACTTCGAAGGTAACTATTTGACGAACTCTTTAAACTGAGATTTATTTAAACCCTTGAATGCTAATACACTAATTTTCTGATTTGAGTTTTGTTTAGATATTGTGTACTATACAAGTGTGTAACTTATAAGCAGCATACAACCAACAGAAAAACTTAAGCTGTTTATTTTAGCGATATGCTAAACAATAGACTATATGCGCTCTGTCCACCACGGGAAATCGAACTCCGGATTTTAACGTTGTAAGTCAGTAATTTTACCGCTGACACGTTGAGGAACAAAACAGTTAATACCCACTAGAGTTTCTTATTCTGAATAATCAATACTTAATTGAACATTAAATAATTAAGGAGTTCAAGATTTCAGCAGTTAAAATAACTAATAGTTTTAGCTTTACTACTGCCTAATTATGCACTTGGCTTGTTTCTAAGTTGACTGTCGATTACTGACAATCTGTCTTCAAAAGCAAGTTTTAAAGAAGTAAAATGATACAAAACTAGCATTGTTGAGTTTCCATGGGCACGTGTTATTAAAGATTTTATTTATTCTTTATTGTACAGGAGTCTCCTCACTCTACTTCAATAGGGTGGGAACAGCTTAACAACCAATTCACGATATCTAATTATTCAAATATTGATCAAAACTATGAACAGAAGCTACAAGTGACAACTTTTATTTCAGTTGATGATATCACACATAATACGTGCTTACACGTGCGCTTCTAGTACTAAAAAAAAAAAAGTTCCCCGATGGGCAGGCAATAAGTCTACGAACTTATAACGTTAAAAACAGCGGCTAGATTGCCCTCAGTGGATACAGCAGCTAACCCCGTCTGGCTTTGTTCTAAAACCAACCAACCGTTACAAAAAGAAATACGCACAGGGAGATCTGTGCGATCAAGGAGGCGAAGCACCCTGGAAGATTATGAGTTTCATGATTTAACTAATATTAACTTCCGATCAAAGCAAGTTATCTACCTATTGAGATAAAACCAATAATCAATCTGGTAATGAGCACAGTTAATTATATACACTTTTCTTACGTTCTTATTTATACAGATTGTTTCATTGGTTTGATAACCTCGCTGTTAACGACATTTTCGACTGTAATCCCAATAATATCCCTCATGATTCAACTAACTTAGGAGATTTAGGTTAGTCAGTTAGGCTAATAATACAAATAAATCTTTATATTAAAGAAACAACAATAATAATACATAGTATGGAAAAACTAATCAAATTAGATACACTGTTAATGAAAGAAACAATACAGCATACTTTAGTTATGGAACTTACAAACAGATGTCCTCAAGTTCTGTCAACAATATAATGTTCGTGGAACAATATCATTACAATCACATAGAAGCAACACTTTACACAATTAAAAAACAATTAAATAGCTCCAATAGTGTAACATTAAAGGAGAGCGGCACATTAATTACATTATTACGGCACATGTTATTGTTTAGGTGTGGAATAAAGTAGCAGGACAAAACAATGAACTAATATTTATGAAGACACCAAATGATAAACAATAAATTAAATGAATACCTGAATTATAAAATAAATAGCTAGAATATTGGTTCTGTAATAAAGCTATAACAATGTTTAATGTAATACAGACAATACAATATGTTAAACATATTATGACGTTTGTCCAACACAACTACTCCGACTCAACTAACCTCTGTCACTTAACAAAAAGTATGAAGCAGGCAACAAAAATAAATAAACAAAATTAAATATCCTGTGAAATTGGAAATGAAAAATCAGTAAGTCTCGAAAAAGACACCCGGTGGCGCAGCAGTAAGTCTGAGAGCTTATAACGCTAAAAATCAGGTTTCGATACGCACGTTGGGCAGAACACAGATAGCCGTTTTGTAACTTTGTACAAAACAACAAACAAATCTAACCTCGAGAAAATTAAGTAATGATGATAAGACTTAGAAAGGTACCGTATTTGCCGGTGTATAAGACGATACTTTTTACTCTTACAACATTGCCCGATTTATCCCGAGAAGAACTCTTCGGTTAATAGCATATTTAACCAAAACTACGTTGTTCCTTTTACTTTTTATTTTTGAGTAAGTACGTTTACATCGTGTCACCTACTGCGTTACAATAACATATATAGTTACAATAACTATATATAATAAGCGCTTAAGTCAATAGCAGGTAAAACTAGTGGTGGTTCAACACAAAAAATCTATACAATTAAAACTCTACATGTTTTGGTTGAAAAAAAAAATCCACCATCTGTTTCTTCTGGTCTCCTGAAGATGGCGGAATTTTAAAAATCGAAACGTAGTTTTAATTGTACAGAATTTTGAATTGTATATATTACTTTAACTTCATATAATAAATTATAGTGCAATTTTTAAACGTTGAACTTCTTATTTATTTTATGACACTTAAACCATTTCCAAAATAATTAAAATGCAGACGTGAAAGTTTTTAAAAGATCTTGATATTCTGAAAAACTTCTGAACCCGTAATCAGTAGCAAGAATATTGTTAAATTTCACACAGAACTGGATGGGTTTTGTGCTTAAAATGCGATTGGGAAAACCTTTTTGTGGAGCTCTAGGCAAGAGTTCTTGTAATGTTCAGCAAGTTCTATTGTATCTAATATGCTGTGTTTAGTAAACATCGTAACATAACTTGTTTTTTAATATTCGTCTTTAAAGATGGAATGTTTATAAATTCAAAGTTGACAGCGTCTGCTTTACTGAATAATGCTCCCCAGTGGCACAGCGTCAAGTCTGCGGACTTACAACCATAGAAACAGGGTTTTGATACCCGTGGTGGGCAAAGCACAGATAACCCATTGGGTAGCTTTGTGCTTAACTTAAAAAAAAAGAACAACAACAAAAAACAATTTACTGAAAACTTTGAACTTCAATATTTGGTTGATGATGGTGATTATTTTTAGTGAAAAAGTTTTTTCTTTTTTTCTAGGGTGAGCCCCGGTGTATAAATTTGTTTGACTGTGTCTAGAAAACCTTTATAAATATTTTAAATATGTTTACAGGCGAGACTGATGGGCAAAGCTTTACTATAGTTTTCTTCCCAAGATTTGTAATGTGTGAAAATGTCAGTTCGAATAAGTATAAATCTGCAACTTGGAAGACATGTTGGCCATATTGTACAAATGTGTTGTTAAGTAAAATACAACATGTGGCCTGTAAGAATTCGTTTAATGTGAAACAATGGTGATTTCTACCAGTAGCATTGTCATAGAAACATCTGTGTTTACTGACACGGAGCATTAGTTTACCAGAATTATTAAAAACCTTGAAATTGTTGATGAAAGACAACCAATTTCATCAACTGGAAGGCTAGTGTAAAGATTACTGAAATTAAATATTTGTATACCAATTTCATCAACTGGAAGGCTAGTGTAAAGATTACTGAAATTAAA